GACCTTTTCAGGGGTATTTTAGGAATAATGAAGCTCGTAATAATCATCAAAATATGCATGAAGACCCATCCCCTCCTATCACATTACTTGGGCTTGTAGTATATTCGCCAAAAAGCTTCAACCGGAGGTCCAGATGGCTACTGCCCCAGTGGTCGGACCTGTTGTCGCCTCGGCAACAGCAACAGTTGCACATTCCTTTGTTGTACAGCAACACTACGACTCATCTGATGCCATTCCGACAGATGGCTTAGCTGCTGGTTCTTCCTCCAAAACAAATGAGAAAAATCAGAATCCAAACCTTGTTAATAAGTCATGCTCAGGTGTCAATTCTTTGGGTTTTTCGGGAGGATATGGTAGAACTTCGGGTATTAATATTTCAGAGGAGGATCTTTCTCACCCTCCTGGTTTCTCAAATAAATGTAATTCCCTTATGAGTGATAATCAAAGTGTATTGGGTGGAATTTTTTCTAAAAATTCATTTTTAAATTAATTAACAAAAACTCTTGAAATGGGTAAAGCTATGGGTTACAATATGGACGGTTGTTTTGATCGATTAAAAGAATTAGTTGAGGGTCACGTTGAAAGACAAATTCAAAAATGGATTGTCTTTCAATTAACGTTCAAGGGGCGGGTTGTTTGGATAAGAGATCTTGGATTAAAAATTTGTAACCTCCATAAAATAAATTTTCTAGTGATTCAAGAAACAAAGATGGAAGCGATGGATTTGGTTACAGTTAGTTCGTTTCGGGGTAATGCTTCTTTTATGCATGCTTTTTCCTCGTCTCGGGGATCTTCAGGTGGTATTCTTGTTGTGTGGGATCATACAATTATCTCGCAGAAAAATGTTTTCACTTTTACTTGGTTCGTTGTTATCGAGGCGATTTGGGTTCCTTCGGGTTTGGCTGTCATGTTTATAGTTGTTTATGCTCCGCAAGGTGCTAATGACAAAAGAGAACTTTGGGATCAGATTTCACGAATTATTACGTCGTTTTTTGGCTAATGTATAGTTATGGGGGATTTTAATGAGGTTCGGGATGATTCGAAGAGATTAGGGTCACAATTTAATCCGGGTAAAGATACTGTTTTTAATGATTTTATTAGCCATCTAGATCTTGTTGACATACCTCTAGGTGGTCCTCGCTTTACTTGGAGTGACAGATGGGGTTCGAAATTTAGTAAACTAGATAGATTCTTGGTCATGGAGGGTATTATGGGTTCTTTTCCTCATCTTATGGGTCTTGTGTTAGAAAAAAAAATCCCGATCATTGTCATATTCTTTTGTTGGAGTATCGTGTGGATTATGGTCCTAACCCGTTTTGGTTATTTCACTCTTGGTTTCTGTTGGACGGATTTTATGAGGTTGTGCGGGAGTCTTGGTTGAACCCCGAGCTGGGGACGTGTTCGGATAACCCTTGGATTATTTTTAAGAAGAAATTATAGCTTCTTAAAAAATATATCAGGGTCCGATATTCTACTAACCGGGATCAACTTTCTAATAAGAAGAAAAAATTTCAAGAGATGTTGGAGTGTATTGATAGGCGCTTAATGTAAGATGATGGTTCACCTGATTTGAGAGAGCAATGGGTTTCTTTACTAAAGGAGATTTCGGATCTAGATCATTTCTCATAGTTGGAGCTCGCCCAAAAGGCTAAGATTCAGTGGAGTATAGAGGGTGATGAGAACTCAGGTTACTTTCATGGAGTTATTAATCGCAGAAGGCACCAAGTTTCTATTCGTGGTCTCTTGATTGATGGAGCTTGGATTGATAACCCTATTCGGGTGTAGGGGAAGTTTCATGCTTACTACCAGTCTCTTTTTCACAGCATATGGGAAGACGCCTGTAACGCCCCATTTGTCAGGTATCATAATGGTTCAATTTAAATTTCATGTTTTAATACTTACTCGAAGAGTTGATGCTATGACTCGCCGAGTAGAAGTGGGTTGGGACACGTTATTTAATGAGTTGAATCGATGAGTCGGGAAGGGGACTCGACGAGTAGGAGCTGGCAGAGGAAACCCTAAATTTCAGGGTTTTTGCACCATATATATTGGACCATTAGCGCCTCCCATTGTCCATTATCACCCCTTGAGATCCAAAAACCCTAATTTCGTGTGAGTGAGCTTTGTGAGTGTTTTGGAGCTTTGGGAAGTGATTAAGTGAAGGAAACTTATAGATCAAGCAGCTAGCATCAAGGAAATTCGTGTAGATCTTGAATACATCTCAGTTTGGGCACGTTTTGGAGGTAACCAACTGATATTTTGATCTATTTCTTCTTAGAACCATTCATGGATGGAGACAGGGTTTTCTTTAGCATATTCATGAAGGGAGTGTGGTGTATGAGCTAGATATGAAATTGAAACTTCAGATCTGAACATCCCTTGGGTCCTAAGTTCATAAAGTTCCTTGTATGGTTTTCAAAATAAAGGATGGAAGATACGAAGTGTACGATCAGCCATAGCTAATTAGTAGATCCCAAAACACCATACAGTTATTTGATAATATGATATGTTTAGACAGCATGCTAGTACTAGGCTAGGGATCTTCAGGGATCGCATGATAGAAATTGTCTAATTACTTGATGTCTGCTAGCCTAGGGTCTTCTTTGTAGGAGATTGACATCATTATTGTGGTTCCTTGTGTATGTATCATGGTTATATACAATTAAGATCTTATAGCCTGTGAATGCTAGATTTGGTCTTATGATTAGGGCCAAGTTGGATATTCGAAAGTCTGTGAGGTCTACCATTATGTATAACTAGCATACACTGGTGCTATGGGTTGATGAAAGTCTCATGGATGGTGGAGTTATGAAGGGTTAGTAGATCAGTAGTGAGATGTTTAATATTCCTCTAGAAGTGAGGATGGGGAGTTCGTTATGATTATGTATATTATTAGGGTTTGTGTTATTCGGTTAAGATACTTGACATGGTTTTTGTGAGTATTTATGATTACTATGATTATGATCATTAATAAGCAAAATATTTCCGTTTATTTATGAAATGGATGAAGTGAAGGGAGTACACGTGTAAGACTCTAGAGTATACTTCCACACCATTAGGACCGGTTCTGAAGATTCAAATGCGCAGAACGAACCAGAAAAAAAATCCCCTTATACCCGAACGTATAATGAAATAATTATATAAACTAATATATATATATATATATATATATATATATATATATATATATATATATATATATATATATAAGAAATTTAAATTAAATTTTGAATTGTCATAACGAAAAACTAAAAAATAAATTAAATTAATAAACAAAATGATAAGTATAAATTTATAAAAGTTGAGGGTCTAAAGATCAATTTTTGGAAATTTATTTAGTAAAGAGAATTGATATAAAGGATAAATTGTTAAGTATGCATCATAAATGAAGGGTAGAAATTATAACTTTGAATATCAATGATATGAATGAAAATAAGCCAACGATTAAAAAGTAACAATTGATATTGCAAATAATCGAACCCGTGTGGATTGAATTTAAGTAAACACGTGTTAACCGGCTGAACGAAAGGGCATTTGTGTTAAAATTTTGAAAACATAATATATAATAATATCTTAATTATATAATTTTGAAAAACTTGGGCCCTATTTTTTTCGGGGCCCTGTGCGGCTGCACAGCTTGCCCTCCCTTAGATCCGGGCTTGCACACCATCTCCCTCAACAACGTCTCCTTCCACCTCATCACTATCTCATTCCACAACCTTGGTGGTGTACCTACAACATCGTTGAACCATCATGGTGTGTAGAAAGAAGAGAGAGCAACAAATAAGTAGAACAAAACGATTTGGTGTGGTCTTCTGCTGTAAACACCATGTGAGGCCACAAATCGATCGGATTGGGGATGATGTGCAAGGTCGTGACTACCCTGCCACCTCGCCATGAATGCTTCTTGTAGCAATCGTATCCTTCGTCCTAAAGTGAACATGACTCGCAAGTTGTGGTTGTATGTACATCTCGTCCACATTCATTGGGTAAATCAAGTGCATGGAAGATAGCTTATCATTAGTTATACCTCAAAATATATTGAAGTTATAAATCCTAAATATATTGAAGTTATAAATCCTAAATATATTAAAGTTATAAATCTTGACATTTAGCCCAAATAGTACAAACTTTTTTACAAGTTGATGTTCAATATAGATGTTCAATATCATAAGAATGTCTAATATCGGAATTGTCTTCAGTTTTTTTAGGATCGATTTTTAATTTTAAAGAACCAAATACATTGGTTTTGAGATCGCCCTAACATTTGGGAAACATTGGAGCCAGTTTCAAGAATTTTTGTGTAACATCACAAAAATCACAACCAGTTTTAAACTCCGGCATAACTATACCACTTTGCATAGCTTATCCTTTAACAATGGACAAAATTATAGACTTTTGTACGACGATCTATATTAATAATGAATAAAGAATGTTATACTTTCTAAAAATTCTAAGAAAAATTGTTACAACTTAGAGACAAAAAAAAAAAAAAAAAAAAAAAAAAAAAAAAAAAAGTGGATAGGAACTTCATTCCACCGGACCGTATAGTATGGATCGATATTGAAGTTTACCTCTTCGGGCTTGGAGTAAAATAGGTTTTAAGAAGATCATGGCCAAATTGGGTTGTATCGTTCAACAACCGTGTTTGTATTTTAACATCATACTCTGGTATTATATTAGAGGTGGTGAAAGTTTGTGTCGATAGTGTCATTTTTTCCGTTAGAATCAAAGAAGCACCAAGATGGACTCCATCTTTCTCATGTGATTTTACCAAGAATGAAGTTGTTCAAGATGAGAGATATGATAATTTACATGAGAATGAAAGTATTGGTTCTCTGGATAAAAGGGATGAAGCTTCACAATACCCTTTTGGCATATACGAAACTTTGGAAAATTTAGACAAAGTAGAAAAGCATCCTTCTAAACCCCCAATACAATCTAACGGACCTTTTCAGGGGTATTTTAGGAATAATGAAGCTCGTAATAATCATCAAAATATGCATGAAGACCCATCCCCTCCTATCACATTACTTGGGCTTGTAGTATATTCGCCAAAAAAGCTTCAACCGGAGGTCCAGATGGCTACTGCCCCAGTGGTCGGACCTGTTGTCGCCTCGGCAATAGCAACAGTTGCACATTCCTTTGTTGTACAGCAACACTACGACTCATCTGATGCCATTCCGACAGATGGCTTAGCTGCTGGTTCTTCCTCCAAAACAAATGAGAAAAATCAGAATCCAAACCTTGTTAATAAGTCATGCTCAGGTGTCAATTCTTTGGGTTTTTCGGGAGGATATGGTAGAATTTCGGGTATTAATATTTCAGAGGAGGATCTTTCTCACCCTCCTGGTTTCTCAAATAAATGTAATTCCCTTATGAGTGATAATCAAAGTGTATTGGGTGGAATTTTTTCTAAAAATTCATTTTTAAATTAATTAACAAAAACTCTTGAAATGGGTAAAGCTATGGGTTACAATATGGACGGTTGTTTTGATCGATTAAAAGAATTAGTTGAGGATCACGTTGAAAGACAAATTCAAAAATGGATTGTCTTTCAATTAACGTTCAAGGGGCGGGTTGTTTGGATAAGAGATCTTGGATTAAAAATTTGTAACCTCCATAAAATAAATTTTCTAGTGATTCAAGAAACAAAGATGGAAGCGATGGATTTGGTTACAGTTAGTTCGTTTCGGGGTAATGCTTCTTTTATGCATGCTTTTTCCTCGTCTCGGGGATCTTCAGGTGGTATTCTTGTTGTGTGGGATCATACAATTATCTCGCAGAAAAATGTTTTCACTTTTACTTGGTTCGTTGTTATCGAGGCGATTTGGGTTCCTTCGGGTTTGGCTGTCATGTTTATAGTTGTTTATGCTCCGCAAGGTGCTAATGACAAAAGAGAACTTTGGGATCAGATTTCACGAATTATTATGTCGTTTTTTGGCTAATGTATAGTTATGGGGGATTTTAATGAGGTTCGGGATGATTCGAAGAGATTAGGGTCACAATTTAATCCAGGTAAAGATACTGTTTTTAATGATTTTATTAGCCATCTAGATCTTGTTGACATACCTCTAGGTGGTCCTCGCTTTACTTGGAGTGACAGATGGGGTTCGAATGTAACGACCCGTTCCCGGTATGTTGATTTAATGGTAATTATAGTGAGTTTTTCAAGAGGGACTCGGCGAGTTCTAGCCTGACTCGCCGAGTAGGGTCGCGCCTGAGGGCACGCGTGAGCCGGGGACTCGACGAGTCCATATCCCTGACTCAGCGAGTCCATCTGTCTGGGTGAAACCCTAAGATCCCCGGGTTGCCCACTATTTATACCACCTTATAGCCCCCATTCTCGCCTCCCTCACCCTGAGAACGCAGTGATAGAGCCTTAAACCTCCCTTGAAGAGCTTATATGTGTTTTGGTGCCATTTTGTGAAGGTGTGAAGAAGTAGAAGAAGGAAGAAGCAAGGAGAAGTGTTGTAGTGCAAAGATCCAAGGCCAAATCAGAGTTAATTGAGGTATTTTCGGAGTTCCATCTTGTTATATGCTTTAAACTTCCATTAGAGCTCTCCTAAGAGCTAGTTGATGCTTGTTCCAAGCCTTACACTTGCATGAACGTCTTATTAAGTCGAATATCTATGGATCTGAATGTTGGGGTGTTGTAGAGCCCAGATCTACTGTCTTTTTGGAGTTATATTGCATGATAACCATAGATCTACCCATTTTATGCATCTTTAGCCTTATTTCCCTTATTCATGAGGTTGTACACGTAAAGTTGGAAACTTTACGTGGTAAATCAGCTTATTGGACTCAGATCTATCAATTGTATGCATTGGATTCAAACAAAATCAAGTAAAAATCAGTTGCATGGCGGCAACTCGGCGAGTCGGAAGAACGACTCGACGAGTTGGGTCGCGAGTCCCGAGTTCTTCAGTTTTATCAGTGTCGAGTGGACGAGGTGAGTTAGAGAGTGGACTCAGCGAGTTGAGGGTGAACTCAGTGATGGAGGGACTCGGCGAGTTGTTCATCAACTCGGCGAGTCCAAGGCAATCTTCTTGGGATCAAGAACAACTCGTCGAGTCTGTTCATCCGACTCGGCGAGTCGGATGAAGATTGTCTGAGTTCTTGGATCAAGAGGGTACTCGTCGAGTCGATGCCAGACTCGACGAGTAGCAGTGAGTAAAGTGAAAAGTGAGAGTAGGACTCGGCGAGTTGGGTGGCCCAACTCGGCGAGTCAGCCCAAAGAGAGTTGACTTTGACCGAGGGTAAAAGAGTCATTTTACCCCAAGCGCAGTGTTTAGTATTTGATTGAGTGTGTTTATGGACTTGTAGCCGAGGAGATTCAGGAGCAGCCGCCGTTAGCTTTCCGAGCCACACACTCAGCAGCCAGCTTACGAGGTGAGTTTCCTTCCAGTAGGAACGGGTCTAAGGCCACAATGCCGGCCCGTTCAGTTAGCAGTAGTTTCCGGATTTAGGTCCGATGCAGTAGTTAGTATGTTCGATGCCTTCGTGGCTCGAACAGGATTTGTGTGCTATGTGTTAAGTATTATGTGTTCCGGGCCACGGCCCGATGTAGCATGTCGTATATGTGTTATGCTAGTTGATGTGTTATGCTATGCCATGTTCAGTCAGTCAGTTCCGGACTTCGGTCCGATGCAGTTAGTTCCGGACTTCGGTCCGATGCAGGGGACAAGGTCCCAGTCAGTTCCGGACTTCGGTCCGATGCAGTTAGTTCCGGACTTCGGTCCGATGCAGGGGACAAGGTCCCAGTCAGTTCCGGACTCGGTCCGATGCAGTCAGTTCCGGATTTCGGTCCGATGCAGTTAGTTCCGGACTTCGGTCCGATGCAGGGGACAAGGTCCCAATCAGTTCCGGACTTCGGTCCGATGCAGTTTCCGGGCTTCGGCCCGATGCAGTGGGCAAGGCCCAATATGTGTTTATATGTTATTGTATGGTATGTGGTAGTTGGGGGAGCTCACTAAGCTTCGTGCTTACAGTTTCAGTTTGGTTTCAGGTACTTCCGCAAGCAAAGGGAAGAGCTCGGGTGACAGCATCGCACACACCACAGCATAGCTTTTATCCTGGGGATGTCTCTTGATGTTTTGGATTGATGTAGTATGATACAGTTTTCCGCACAATATTTTATTATGTTTTGGGGATACATCGCGTATGTTTTATGTTATGATACTTATATTATGGTTTTGATTATATGGAAAAACGAAAAATTTTTGGGTCGTTTCAAGTTGGTATCAGAGCCCTGGTTTGAGGGATTCGGATACACTTCCGGGTGTATCTGAACTCAAACTAAGGGAAATAAAAGATTTTAATAAAAATGTTTTACAAAAAGAATTTTGAAAGCACTTGGAAAGAAAGAATTGTTTTTAACAAGATAGAGGTGTGTGCATGCGGTCAGCCGAGCTCAAGTAAGTACTCCCAAATTACCCATACAAGTTATTTGTTCAGTTTCAGTTTCAGTAGAACAGCATGCTAGTATAGGGCTAAGGATCTAGGAGAATGCCTTATGTGCCTGCTTATGTGTTACAGCTTTATGAGTATTGCATGCTAGAATTGAGTAGACAGCAGTAGGATAGCCTGTTTAGGTTATGCCTGATAGTATGAGCTTAGCATCCTATGCTAGTGCAGTTTCTTGTTATAAGAATAGTTTTGCCTGAGTCTATTTCCCGTGTCCGAATGCTGCTTGCTTCGTGCTTAGTGGGGTTCTGAGTAGTGGGAGTTAGCCATTAGGTGAACACGTCACACCACATGTGATCAGGTTTGAATAATCCCAGAGTGCTGGAACTGGCCCTATTGCGCAGCTCTTGTTTGAGTCCAACCGTTGTAGGGACGGATCTTTTACTTGAAGGATTATCTGATCCTCATCACATGTGATGGTGTTTAGGTGGTGGCTAACTGGCATTATGAGGAGACCTACAGCAGCTGAGGACCAGTCGCGTTGAGCTTGAAGTTTCCCTAGGGCAAGCCTAGGATGAGAGTAGCAGAGAATGGCAGTAGTAGAAGTGACTTGGTGGAGTCAAGGCAGTTCTTGAGGAAAAGTACGGATAGATGTGGAAGGTAGTAGGGGCCCATACTACTGAAAGCAGAGGATCCGTACTCGAATTAAGGAAGGCCAAGACAAGACCAGGAAGCTAGTAGTAGTATTATGGTCCCTTGAGATATTTCAGTGTTCTGATGTTGCTATGATATGTTTTCAGAATGGTAGTTTTGCGTCCGAGGCCAGCAGCCGGTAGTTCAGATGCCGGAGGGGATCAGGATCGGGATCAGGCCCGGAGGCCGGGCAGGATGGATGAGCAGACTAGGGAGTTCCTTCTTCTGAGGTTACCCGCATCATACTAGAGCAGACTCCTGTGATCTTCGGTTCGATCAAGGAGGGTATTTTAGAGCTGATGGATGAGAGATTGAGTACTTTCCGTGATGAGATGGAGGCCGTGATGGGGTCGCGCACACTTACGTTCAGGGAGTTCAGGGCATGCGGGGCTCCAGACTATCATGGGCGGGACCCCATAGCGAGTACCAGATGGTTGGCGGATGTGGCCAACGCTTTCCGCAACTAGCAAGTGTCCCGAGGGGGACAAGTCAGATTGGCGTCCTGTCTTCTGAAGGACAGGCACGGGATTGGTGGGAAGAGGTTCGGACGATGCATCGGGGATGATGCGGCATTGGATGCCATGACCTGGGCTGATTTCTCTACCAGGTTCAGGGCGGAGTTTGCACCAGTCATTGAGGTGTAGCAGTTAGATAGGGAGTTTCAGGACCTTACCCAGACTACAGAGACAGTGGCGGAGATCACCGCCAAGTTTAGGGAGAGGGCCCTTCTTGTTCCTCAGTATGCAGCCGATGAGGAGATGAAGAAGGCCCGTTATCATGAGATGTTGCGGAGTGACATTCGCATGTTTGTGAGCCGGTCCAGTTGTAAAAACGCTGGACGACATGATTGCCAGAGCTAGAGAGAGGGAGATTGATCTCGAGATGGAGAAGAAGAGGAAACCGGAGGCGTTTTCGGGTTCAGGCAGTGTGGGCAAAAAGCCCAAGGTTTCAGATCACAGGTCTAGGGGTCAGCAGAGCCACGGTCGGTGTGGCAAGTGTGGGAGATTGCACGAGGGGGCGTGCAAGGCAGGGAGTTCCGGCTGCTACAAGTGCGGTCGGACTGGGCATTTGAGTAGGGATTGTACGGCCCCTGCTACTACGGTTACAGCATCAGATCTGATATGCTTTCAGTGCAATCAGAGGGGACATAAAAGGTCCCAGTGTCCCAGTTTAGCTGCAGCAGGGAAGGTGGTTGCACCTGCCCCTGCCACCTTGAGGATTACGGATGGCCGACAGGGCCGAGCTGATGCGCCAGTGGCGAAGAGCAGGGCATTTCAGATGACAGCAGAGGAGGCGCGAGCGACTCCTGATGTGGTGACGGGGTCATTCTCAGTGAACGGCATCCCTGCTTTGGTATTGTTCGATTCGGGGGCTACCCGATCATTTGTATCGCTTGCGCTTAGCAAGAGACTTAGCAGAGCTCCCGAGGAGCTGGATTGCCCACTAGAGGTTGAGATAGCAGATGATAGGACCGTAAGGGTCGGCAGAGTGCATAAAGGGTGTTCCCTTCAGATATTTGATGAGCAGTTTTCCATGGACCTGGTTCCTATTCCCCTGCGTGGGAATAAAGTTATTGTGGGCATGGATTGGTTGAGCCCCAATGGGGCGGTGATTGATTGTGAGCTTCAGCTAGTGAGGGTTCGCACTCCCAGTGGGGTAGAGATAGTGATTCAGGGCGAGAGGCCCCAGCGAGGACCGATCTTTTGTTCCGCCGCAAGGGCGAGGCGCTATGTTCAGCAGGGTTGCGCCGGTTTTGTAGCTTACGTCTTGGATGCCCGGAGAAGGCAAGACGACGATTGATGATGTTCCTATTGTTCGTGACTACCCGGATGTGTTTCCCGAGGATTTG